CATGAAATTGGAGGTGTCCAGAAGACTTGATCTGATATCGCCACAGATGTTTGCCCGTGTTTCTGCACGCTGGACTTCTATCCTTCTCTATGAAATTCTGAGATAGTAGAGTGCTGCACAGTCGATGAACTGGCCAACTTCTTCGAAAATGAAGATGGTCGACGGGATCTCACCATGTTTGCGTCGCATAAATTATTCTGAACCCTGAACACCTCAAAAGCAAACTGATAAGCCGACATGCAGCTTTTGCTACAGTGCACGACTCTGCCACTGGCCCCCACAGAGTTGCGGGAGTTGCTGAAAAATCTGGAAGCCGGAGTGACACAGAAAGAACATAATAACATATACAACATCCCATCCGATGGTGATTTTGGCAGGCTGGGCACCTTATCGCAAGCATGCTGGCCGTGTTGTGCGCTCTCTTGCTGGACTCTGTTTGTGAGAAGCACAACATGTGGGGGGCGATAGGAAGTCCACTTAATGACATAAAGTTTATGTGTCTTCAGATGTGCTCTTGTGTGTACTCTCATGTGATGTGTGGGCGAATACATGTCGGGCCTGGCCGGGTGCTCATTTGTCGCGTGCTCTCATCTGTGAACTCCCGCGTGTGATCTCACATTCTCAAAAGTGTGAGCTGATAGTTGTTGATGGTTTCTCACCCTGCACAAACAAAAAGGGTCACCACCAAGGCCAGCCTATTTCCTCTTTATCCCCGCTGGTTTGGGCTTGGCTGCTGCCCAGACCTCAGAGCTCACGCCTCCGTGTCCGAACGCACGCCTTTGCACGCCTTCGCGCCGAGGCGTGAGACCAGTGTGAGGGTCTTCGCGAGCCTCCCTGGTTTGTAGCTCCTAAGAATAGGACGTAAAGTGTGAAGGCTATAGTAGTCATTACGTCATTTGCAGGTGAGGGAGTAGGTCCGCCTGGCGAAAAATAGATCTCCTATGTCAAGCTATGTCTGTGATCGTCATCAGGTCAGGTGAGCATCAGGTCATAGACAAGTGCATCAGGTCATTGTGTCGGGTGGCACCACACAAGCATCAGCACTTTGCCCACACAAGAACTCTAGGATTGACTTGGGTGCGCTTCCTGGCATTGTGCCATTCAGACGTTCCACATGCCTACGGCTACGGTTCGGGGGGGGACCCAACGGACGATCAGCGACACGGCGGGGCTGTTCGTGGCAAGGCCACGGTAGGAGCTGCATGGGACTGGTATGATAGACTCTATATGATCGCCTCGCTGTGGGCATGTCAGATGGCTTGAGCCTGGGTTGCCTTTGTAGAGGATGTTTCGCAGGTGGAATGACTGTTTCGCCAGTGGAGTATACTGGAGTGCCATGCCGGAAGTGGTCAGATGTAGTTTTTTTGGGGCCAGTTTGACTTTCAGGGAGCAGTTCCAGCTTGACAATTCCCTTGATTCGATTCTTTTGTCAAGCAGCAAGGCCACTGGAGACGTTCCGCCGTCTCCTTCGGAGCACGTTCTTCTACGGTCGCTGGGAATTGGATGGGCAGGCTCTGTTCTACCTCAGTGTCACGTACCAGGATTTCAAGGCCAGGAGCCACTGTTCCTTGGGTCGTTTGAAAGGCAAGGGCCGGGAGCCACGACGTGAGTAGCATAGTTTAGTTCAGAAGCGTCAGACTGTTGGAACGTGGGTTCTACCGAACCTGCGAATTTCAATGAAGTCAGAGTTGCTATCATGCCCTATACCAAAACGGCTGTATGATGCTATATGGCATATGGTGATGTATGGTGCTTGCTTTTTTTGTTTTGCGTTTCTCTATCTGGAAAAGCCGTCGTGCGTCTCGTCAGGAGCGTTCCGTTGGAATGATTTCCTACGCGGATGTGCTCCTCGGCAGGACGGTGAGGCTTTTTGAAGCCTTTTGTTCGACCCCCAAAACGTTCTCCGGAGGATGTGAATGGAATCACTGGATTCAGACTGAACATAGACTTGCTCCTTGACAAAACAGCTCAAAGGTTGGATCTGTCGCCTCAATCCATTCATTTGGCAGAACAATGTCATATTGGAAATCCTTTAAAATCACTCAAAGGCCCAGTGATCGGTTCAAGACTTGCTGATTACTCTTGGCTCGATCTGGATCGTGGCACTGTCTTCTTGCTGTCTCCTTTGACCACTTTACTGGATCGGTCAGTCCTTCAAAAAGATTTCTGGGGCCTTAAGCATATCTCAAGCACCGGAATGCGCAACACCTCAATGAGACATCAAGCGGCGCCTCAACTTCTCCAACTCCACAGGCGTGCAAGGTCATACACGATTTGGCTGTGGGTCAAAACAGGAGGACCTTGGTTGACCCACCGAATGCACAGAACAGACTACCAGGGACATGGTTTTGGGGCCCAGGCTTTGACCATCTTTGACCCACATCCATTTGAGCACCAGTTCACTGAGGCATGCGGGGGAAAGCAAAGTCTCCATGATCCATATATGAAGTATTTTCGAAAAACGAAAAAACTGTAGCTGCTCGATGTTAAACCGATTTCGAGATGGAGAAGGAAAACAAATAACTCAATGTCAGTCCAGATTTTGGGTCCACCAAACTAGTGCCAAACATTCCCTGTTCATCTCGCCCCGACCTCGCTGAGGTGTGGGACTGCTGCCTTTGAGCTGAAGCAGCTCTTCTTCCCCAGCTTCCTGGCCTCGTGAAAAGGATGATGTTGGTCGTTGTGCCCATGGAAGATGATGGAAGATCGAAAAGGATGGGCACCGTTTTCAGACAGTAGATGGCATTTCTACAGACATGATCCATGATGATGATCCATTTCTACAGACAGGAGATGGCATTTTTCCATGATGATGGAGGTGTGACTTATCGTCATGATTTATCAACGGTCTACACACTAAATATCGGAATATCACATTGGGAGTTCCTTGATGTGCCAGATGGGAAACATGATGAAACATGGCTTAACTCAAACCGATTGAACAACACATGGAGTATCATGGAGTGGTTGAGGTTTTTCACCAACCTGCTGGGGATGCGCTTCCGATGTTCATCATGCTCCATGGCGCAAGTGCGAAGCGCTTCCAATGTTCATCCCATGATCTTCATTCGCCGAACCGACGAGTCAAGGTTCGCAGTGCGTGGAACCTTTGTATTCCATGACCAAAGAGGAGTTTGAAGAGTCCCAGCGACAGGCAAGGAGGGATTGTTCGGGGGTTGGTGGCTACAACTTCGGTCCTGCCGTTTTCGGGTGCCGTCTTGGGCTTTCTGTTCGTCTTCATGGCAAATGATTCATGGAGATCCACACTGAGCTTGGTGGACTCGCGCCAGATCAAGGGTCTAGTTTTGGGGGAAGAATTATGGAAAATCATCTCTGGTCCTTTCTGGATTTGGCCACAGCTGAGGTTAGCAAGTTGTTCTAACCCCATGTCGGCCAAATCAGGCAGGCTACCGACTCCGGAAATCCGCCGTTGAAAAGGATTCCATGGGATGAGAAGCCACCTTCATTTGCTCACGCAGGTGCTACCCAGGACCCTGAAGATGAACCTAGAATCCAGTGCTTCAAGAAGCACCACACTGGGAACCCGACCCACCCAACGACACGCCCGGCTCGGCCAGTCTGGGCTTTGACGCTATGAATACGCTGTGCTGGCACTCTCGACGGCCCAGGCCAGCCTGACAAGCAGGGAGCAGAAACCGCTGCCGAAGACGGCGCAGGAGATCCTCAAAGAGATGGCCTCCTGGACGCGACCGTTGCCTGTGAGACCGTTGGCCTGTGGGAGCTCCTGATGGCGTCATCAAAAGGTCTATAGGAGTCGGGCTCAAGATTGGGCAAAAGGGGTGGATGGAGGTGGGTTGATCCAAGTCCAAGCATGTAGCACCCTGGTTCAAGAAGGTTGATGGTGAAGTCTCTTCCACTACGAAAGGGAATCCTCGCCCTTGATTAGCAGCGATGGGCAGAGAAAGTCACCACATGTCATCACTATAAGCCCTGAGTGTTGTTTGGGGGTGGTTCTGCAAGACCAGGGAGCCAGATTCGGCCACAGGCCAGGGATTTGTTCTTCCTTAACAATAGACTTCCAGGTTCTGTGAAATCTTTGTTTGGGCCAAGATGGTTGATGCATATTGTCAAGATGATATCAGATGGACTCTTGACGAACCTGACGTAACGGGGGGGGGCACTCCAACCGTTACGTGACGAATTGATCTCAAGCTCGCTCGGGGACCGGTCGGACCCCGCCCCGGCACCGTTGGAAAGGAAGCATCAAAGCCAGCATCCCTTGAGGTCAAAGACCAACGCACCCACCATTTGGGTCCAAAAGGCGAAACCATGCGAAAACTTATGGGCCTGCAGAGTGCAGTGATTTGGAGGACCTTTTCACGAATCTCTTAAATGGAATTTGATGCGAATGAACCAGATATCGCACCAGATGACATGCATTTCCAGAGTCAAAGGCATTTCTTCGATCGCTCTATCTGAGCCGCCTGAGCCACTCAGCCGCTGAGGAAGCCAAGGAGGCCCAGTGAGGCGCACGCAGCGGCGAGCCTCGCCGCCCCGTCTCACCCGATACCCCCCCCAGTGAAAGCGTCCGAAAAAAGACCGCTGGGCCTGTCAGAGAGAGAGAAGGGGGTGGAACGGGCTTCCACCAGCAGTTTGCTGAGAAATTCAAAACCTTCGAAACTGAAAAAAACATGCTGGGCAGTGGCGGGACAGGCGTACTGAACGACTTCATCATGTCAATGACGAATAGAAGTTGGTTTGTCAACGTTGAGAAAGACCTCGAGATCCAACACCAGGATTGCCAAACGATGCCAAACGTCTCCATCATACAGGGTTGATGAAGTCAAACATTACTTGCATCACAACAGCTGACATGCTACCCTTCGAACACATTGCAAACAAAGTAGTCCTTCCTTTCCTTTTCTTAGGATGTTTTCTTGCTCCAGAAGCTCCTGACCAGGTTCGGTTCATCATAGCAGGCCCTGACCAGGATTCCTTCTTCATGAGTTTGCACGATTTGGATTCACCGCCGCTGGCTCAGTGTTTGACCGGTTCCAGACTTCGCACACGTTTCAACTGGAACTCCGGCACTCGCTCAATATGGTTTGGTGGTGGCGGCTTGTGCTGTCACTGCCGCTCTTGAGACATGCGGAAGCCCAAAATTGGGGACTCCTGGCAGGTTTGGATCATGCTGCGATGAGCGTAGTGAGTGGAGTTTGGCAGATTTCTTGCTACCAATGATTTATTTGCTGGGCACAGAAAACAAACACCCCCACGGTCCCACGACAAAAGTTCGTTTTTGCGATGGTTCGGCAGTAGACACCCTTTCGCCATCTTCCAAGAGATTGATGCAAGCGCACACCGCTCACACGGTCGAATGTCCTTCCTCCAATGCCGTTGAAACGGAATGTTGTGTCGTTAAAAAACAGTTTCTTGACCGTCCCGCACGACTCTTACTTCAACATACTTCAACATGGACTCCCAATAGTACTATATTATCCTACAGCAATATATCCTAATTCCACTGCGGCCGCGCCCACATGGATGTTCTGATACCGGATACGAACACACGCATTCCTTCCTGCTGAAGTGTTGTTCTCTTCCACAAATGTGCAATCAGCAAATACGCATATGGAGTAATTGTACACACCTGGATCATGGTTCTATTATTTAGATATAATATATATGTAACTATATATATGTATCTATGTGTATATATGTCGCTCTCCCGGACCTGACATCGGACCAGACCCCATCGAGTGCTTGACCAGAAGGACCATGGAGATGCTTTCGCCAGGATACGTGTCGCAAGGTCCATCAACGTGTCTTTGAAAGCTCCGGTCCACAGTCCACCTACTACCACACCCAGGCACCCATTCCATGTTGCATCGCCTCTCTCTTTCCTCCCCGCAGAAAAAAGAGCAGCCGAAACTTTGAATGGCCTGACCTTCATATGGCCGAAAAAGAGTCAACCGTCCGTCCTCAGGAAAGACCATCGACGTGGCGGGGCGACAGCGAATGTTGACGCAACGCATGTCAAAGGAATTTCTTCAAGTTTCACTTGCCACTTGGATGGGATCCCAGAGAGCACGGGTCAGCACGGATTAAGAAAATCTAGAGAACTCCGATTTTTCCTGGGCAGGTGTGTGGAGGAGCTATGTTGGTTTGGTCCAGGTTTTGTTGACAAGAGTAATATAGGACTTATATCAGCAGGATGACATGGGTACTTTCCAGCATCAAGATGAGCAGATGATACGATGACGTGGGTCATCTTCATAGGGGACCTTTGGAAGACGCAACTTTCCCCTACGAACCGTACGCGTGGTCCACTCAGGCCATAGCTCAACAGGGCAGACGAAAAACGACGACCAGAGACGACCACGGAAGTGGTGGGCTGGGCCGGCATCCGTCATGCCCCGGCTGTCTGGACGTCCGAAGGCTCGGTGAGTCGGTGCAGGTTTTTCACGACTGAGACCTGTCGACTCGGTCAACGGACTCGGTCTAAAACCATCGTGTTTTCGATGGACCTCTCCAAACCTTAGTCCATTGACTAAGACATACTGAACCCATTTAGTATAACTAAACCCAACGTCTTTCTTTTTCGGAAGGGATCTCGGGCAGCGTCCCACCATTTGGATGGTCTCAGATCCATCGGCCCCACCCTGAGGACATCGATCCAGAGGCCAACGCCAACCGGATGAGAGGCACCCAGAATGACCGGACGACAGATGCGAACACGAGATAGCACGAGTTTGTTTGTTTTTTGTTAAGCAGAGTGCAGCCTGCTGAACGCGTTCCGTAGAGGGACTTGGGAAGTGTCCTGGGGAAGGTGACAAATAAAGGTTTCAATAGGATGTTTGAGGGCAAAGCTAATTTGACATTTACATTAATTCATTTACTATACTATCAGTTACTATAAGTTTGCACTCCATAATTTTGGGAATGATGGTGACAAATGCAGGTTGATCCGAATGATCATCGTCTACGGTTGAGACAGGGTGTGTGGAACCGAGGGTACCTTAAACCCTTTGTGGTATGTAACTATAGTACTGCTGAAAGGCAGGACTTGCTCAGATTCAACAGTCTGTGTTTCTTTCTTTCAGTTCAGGCCGGATCATTTGGGGTATCCGATTTAGGAATTTGGGGTAGATCTACTGTACGTGGATTTTCTGTAGATGCCCTTTTCAATGCATATTCAAGTCAGATTGCGCAATTCTTGGTACATCGTTGCCGCGCGGCTCATCCGAGCATTCTTTTTGGGGGGGGCTTGAAAGCGGGTTGCAGAGGTCTCCGAGGTGTTTTGTTCTCGATGGTTCGGTGCTGAAGGCCATTCTCGTCGTTCTCGATGGTTGTGAGCGTCCGAGCCAATGGGCTGGGGGGGGCCACCAGCCAAGCAGCGAAGTCAATCGGACACCATGGGTTTCATAGCGTCCTTGCTCCGTGCGCAGCGATGCCAGGAGCCCCGTTCGTAGCGTCCGATCGCTCCTAATAGGCCATGGGGGTGAAAGAAACGCCCAAAAGACATTTGCTGGAGAAGGTGGGAAGCCCCCACGCCTTCTGTTCCCAGAAGCTGCAAGAGGGATAGGTCGGATAGTTGATGATAGGCAAAATACATATAAATACGACTAAATACGTACCAAACGGAAACCGGATAGAGTATTTATATGCCCATCAACAGTGGGTCCGGGTCAGGGGGTACTTTTGTAGATTCTAGACGTTCATGATGTGAGAAGCATGGACCAATATGGACCATGTACGTCAGAATACGAAAGAACGCACGGCTTGAGCACGGGGGATGAATAAATCATGTGTTTCTTTGCCCACCAATCCCAAGCATGTGGCCATCCGGTCATGCGAGACCATGCGAGTCCTGACCACGGGACCGCACAGGTAGCATAAATTTGTTCAACGTAACTTTGCTTGCACTGATCAATGGATTCTCGGCCAGCTTTTGCCGCCAGTGACATGAGTCACAGTTATTTTTGAATGCTCATGAGGTCATGAGATTAGGGTATCCCATAAGATTAACCTGCTGCGTTCTTTTGAGACCAACCTACATATAGGTTGAGTACCACTCCGTGCCTCTCGCAAGTGTTTCGACACCAGGTCGACCTATAGTCACTTAGCACATCTGCGGACCAGAGCTCCCTTTTACTTTTTCATCCGGTCCGGAAGCTGCGCTGTGCAGCTCGCAGCTTCGGAGCTGCGCTGTGCAGCTCGCAGCTTCGGTTCTCTCGCTCAAGAGAGCAGAGCTCCAGTTTGTGGGTCTCCAGCGACAACACCAAGCGGGAAGGTCTTCAAATGTCTTCAAAACCGACCGTTTTCTGACCGTGGAGGTATAGATGGAATTTGTGTTAGCGAGTCGAAGTGTAGTGATTGTCGTGGACTTGTTCAATCCCGACCAAGGAGATGATGAGCAAGGTATCATCGGCTCGCCGAATCAGCTAGTGGCTGACGGCCTACAAGTTGTCTTGGGAGTCTTGGATTTGCAGATTCACCGGGGAAGCCAGAGGAAATACAATGAAATGCTCCATGTTTTGCATTTTCTCAATATTAATTAACGTTCAGGACTAGCGCTTTCGGGTTGATGGAAGGGCAAGACTCCCAAAAATCCATCAAACATCCAAACAGCGAAACCACATGAAACCACACAGTTCGATGGATGGAATCGAGACTTGAGTATGACTCCAGTTCAACGATGAATTCATTCATGGTCCCAGAAGTTCCCCTGTGTGAACGTTTCTTGGAACGCCACCGCAAGCGGTGGGTGACCAAAACCCGCAGTGACACTGCCTGTGGGGCTAGCACAGAGATGTCAAATAATCGCTGCTGAAGAGAGTCTTAATCATAACGATCATAAAGACCTTGGAACAAGTTTTCCCAGCCCAGGCATAAAGCGATGATTTCCTAGCATATCGAAATGCCAATCAAAACTCGAGTCCCTTGATGAGCCAGCAGTGTATAGAGTATAGACTGTAGACTGCACTGTCCACCCATCGTGTTTTGCAGTCTTACTATGTCTTACTATTGGGCGGCAAATGGGTTAAAAGACACCCTGAAGTATCCCGAAGTGTTCAGAGGCTGAATCAGTTGGCTTGAGCTCTTTGCCACGAGGCCTGATGTCCGTTGTCCAGCGGTTTCAACCCCGCGGATCCCCGAAGGTTCGTTTGGTTGGGGCGGGAAATGCTGGGTATCTATTTCAATCTCAGGTGACCCCATGACATAGCAGGCAAGGGTCCAGCCTCAGGTACCAGAGACGCACTTTCCCAAAAGTGCCTGGCCCTACACTTTCAGCTGGCTTCAGTTCGCAATGATGTCTCCCGAATCAAATCGATTGACCTAGAGGCCTAGAGGCCAGGCGTTCGCAACGTGGCCTGACGTTCATCCATGTCTGCCACGCTCGCACGCTCGCCCGGCACACGAGCGTGTTTGCCGAGGATTGTGGATCCCCTTTGCGCAGCTGTTGCTCAACCACGTGGCAACAGTTCGAGACAGCTCAGGGCCCCTTTGCTGGGGGAAGAAGACTGCGGTAGGTGAGTGAAGCAACTCCGGCTAGTAGTGACAAGCCTGTGCGGGTTAATAATTAGTAATAATTAATTATGAGCAGCTGAAGAGTTGCAGAATGTCAAAACATAATGCCATGCGAGTTGCCATGCGTTGACATGCGAGTACCTGTTGGTTCTGCACCCCGCTTGAGACACTCTGAATTCTCCTGTCTCACGTCCCCAGTAGACACACGACGTTTTGACATGTTTTGACCCTCCTGCACGCACACTCGTTTTTCACATCGTGTTCTTTGTTCGTCACCTCAAAAAATGATCACCTGGTTCTCCTACGTTCGTCCATAGCAACGATGGCCCACGAGGTTCGTGGATATGGCCGTCTTGACACAAGTGGCCAACGAAAACGTTCCGCTCCTCGTGACCTCCAACATCGTGGTCGGGAGGCGAAGTGGCCGCACCCGTCCACGAGTCGTGAGAGGGTAAGATCAACATTTCAGCTGCCTTGTTGGAGTTGGCGGTGAAAAGCAAAAGATGGTTTGAAGATGTTTGAAGTCAGTTGGAGTTGGGGGCTCTCGCCATTCAAATCATCCAACAAGCTGGTGTTACACCTTTTTCGTTTGGGCCCAAACTCCAAACCTACTGATACCCAGACACTCGAATGCCATATATGCCTACATTGACCCCGCAAACCACCCCAATGTAGGCAAATCCCATGGAGTGTCTGGGATATATTTGATGGACAAGTTGTCCTGCACTACCGAGCAGTTTGCTCCGACGGTGGGTCGGCTGCATCCAAAAGCACAGGAATGCAAACGGGGTACTATATGATCGGACAGACGTGTTTTCGTTCTTATCCGTGTTTCAGGCTGGTAGATGCAGCCAAGAGCGCTGGCGCCCCCACCAACGGCCTGGTGGTGGATACCGCTGGGCGTCAGCGCATGTGGCTGGGCGGTATGGAATTGGGTAGGGAGGCACCCACATGATTTTCTCAACCATTTGAGCCCCAGTGCCCTTTGATTGCAGAGAATGAGACGTGGGTCATTGGAGCCATTCATTGATGGGTGTGCAAAAACTATGTTAATTGTGTTTCCCGCCGCCGAAGCATGGGTGTGCACAACTGTACTTGCAGGATTCTCTGGTTACGGCAACACGCCTGCCACGTTTGTTGCGTCCCCAAAGCTGCCACAGAGATCAATGAGGGGCTGTTGCTGCATTACCTGGATGTGACACTGTGAAAGGAATTGGCTGGTTGTACTTTCTTGGTTCAACACTTGAAGAGCTGTATCGAGTTGCAAAGCGAGACACTGCAGCCACACATCAGCTGATCAGAGTTCTGTTTGAGGAGGGCGTCCAGGTTGAAACAACAGAGTTTTGATGAAGCGAAACTTGCCACGCCACACTTGTGTGCCCTTGATTTTGTGATCATGGTCCCATGCTTCTAGGCTGAAACGTTTTCCTGGTGGTTTGGACATGGTGGATGCCCTCTTTTCCTCACCACCTGGAGGACCTGCACCGACTCCTGGATGACCGGCCAAGGCTCATTCAGAGGATGTGCAAGGAATCTATGTTGATCAGCCCCTGAGCGCCGGGGCTGGTGGTGTATCCTGCAGCCAAGTCGTAGGTCCAGGTGTGAGAGGTAGGTCAGCTGCCAGGGGCCCCCGGTTTGGGGTGGTTAATGGACATCCCTTAACCTCTATGGAGTTGTGTAGGGATTGACCTCCCACCAGTTTTCTCACAAGGGCGACATACCAAGCATTCCAGCACCCTCAGGGTGCGCAGGTTCGAAGTGGCGGTGCCGTGCTGTGGCTCAAGCAAGATGTTTCGGTATACTTTGAACCTTGGGCTTTAGGTTTCTTTGGCGGATTTGCGCGGTGCAAGTGATCATGATCTCAAACAGACCTTTTGTGAGAGACATCCCGTATGGGACTTGCTCCAGACTCCAAACCGGCACCGGCATCGCTTCTTTGCTTTTGTGGCCGAGAAGCCGTCTCGTTTGTAAAGGAGCGTGGCAGACGATCGTGCCCGGCACAAACGCCGCGTTTGCCACGCTCATCGACTCATCGGTTTTTCTGCCACCTGTGCTGTGAAAACACGTGGCTCCAGGAACCCAATCGAATGTGTCCATCCGATATCCATTGAGGTCAGGGTGTCAACGTGGGCACCAATCTGCGGCTTCTGAAGAACAACCGCCTCCTTTTCGCCAACAGCCATGTCGGCATTGTCGAGGGCGCGACTTGGGCCCCTTGGAAGGCTTCATCGCACTGGCAAAGGGAGTATGGGGAACCCATTCCATGGTCAGATGGAAGAACTATTATGAACAACTTCAAGTCCCAAACACCAAACATCATCAACACCAGACAGTCCCGCCACTTGGAATATTTGGGTTTAAAATGTTCAAAAGAAGATAAAAGAAGATTGACGACGAAGATTGATGACGAAGTGTTGCACCGAGGCGGGTGTGCCAGTGCTTTCGAAGCTTTGCACGATGCACCAGATGCTTGGCCAGCTGATGAGGTGATGTGTTTCAAAAGGTTTCGCTCGCGAAATGCCCAAACTCTTCAGTCGGACTAAAATAGGTCGCCGCAAAAACATTGGAAATAACAATTAAAAACGACGGTTTCCACTCTCAGGATGAGGGAGGTGACATACAACTTCCAGCAGTTCTCACCCGACATTAACCGGATCCTCAATGCAGAGACGCCCAGCGACTCACAGCAAATCGCCATCGCTTTGTCCGTGAACATCTCTGACAAGCGCCTCAGCAGAACCGGCGGTCAATCGGCGGTGGATCGGGTGGGGAGTTCCATGGGATCAGCCACAATGGACGCACCAGCCGGCTGCAGGCATTCTTCCATCGCTGCGCTGAAGTCTCTTTTGTGTCTTCCTGTGGGAACGAACTACTCGTGGTGAACTTGGAAAGCTCCGAATGTAATCCTTTGCCATGAGTCACCAATTCACTAGTCAGTTCACTCCGGACTTGACTCAGAACATGTGCTGGACGTCCTGTCACTCAGAACTGAGCCTCATGGAACCAGATCTCAGGAGTGTCCCTCTTTTTGCCTCCATGGTGGCAGCAGTACAGCTCTACGTGAACGACCAGGGCAGCTGCGACCCTGCGGCCGACATGACCCAAGCAGGCGACGAGAGTCGACCCTGCTTCGGCCGACATGACCATCCGAAAGACGAGATTAGGAGAAAAAGAAGCATAGATGGGGGTTCCTGCAGAGAACACCTTCAATAATCAGATGCGTTGCCTCAATGATAAGGAATTAGATGCCTACACTGATTTACCATGATTTACCCCCAGCATGCACATCTCGAGACCACAAACAGCAGTCATTCATTTGGAACCTGAACGGTTGATTGTGACCCATCCAAATTACACCAGCATAGACCCAGATAGCTAGGCAGAATCCCACGACCTGTTGACATGCGACCGGCTGGAACCAGAATGTATGCAGCCTGTACAGCCAGCTTACGGCACCTCCACAGCGCGCACAATCAGCTGACACCAGCACCGGTGCGCTTTGACCACAACACCAACACCAGCACCGACACCCTTTCGAAAGCGCGCGCAGCCAGCTCATTCTTATTTGCAGCAAGAACCCCATAGCTATCCCTATTTGGGGAATAACAACGTATGATCTTGCGCGTATAATATGTTTATGCGCACAAAAGTATGCGCGCAAGCAGCAAAGCCCGTAAGTGTCATTGGCCCAAGGCCAAGCAGTATCCAGCGCCACTATTATTGACTTTGTAGCATGCTTGAAGCTACGATCTGCAGAACGATAGGGCCGTATGATCTTGCGCGTACAAGATTATGCTCACAAACAGCAAAGCCCGTAGGCTTCACTCGCCCTGGTTCCATGCCTGTGCGTTCTATTTTGATGTCTGAAAATAAAACAATTCAGCAAACATCAGCAGACATGTCAATGTCTGACACGTCATGTCTTCGTCGTTTCAGGTTCCCAGGACGCCGGGATTCCTGGGTCACTAGTCCGCCTAAAGTAGAACTGATGCTTCGTTCTGAATCAACTTGAAAGCAGTTCTTTCAGTTACTTACCACGCTACGACGATTCAGATATGCTTCGTTCGTAACGTCTCCGGCCCAAAAGGGTGAAGATACATGACACATCCACTGCCGCCCCAATTTCCCGGCCGCAACTCCACCTCCGTTGGGGAGATATCGCCTCCGTATGGACTCCCCAGGCTGGCAGGATTTGTTGATGAAGACCTTGGAATTGCGGAAACTCTTGGAGCAGGCCGATGCCCTGCGCGGCGGCGGTCGACCGCGGCTTAGTGGCTCCTGTTTGTAAGAAGATGCTTTATGATCTTCATGTTTCATGCGCAGAGCCATGCTTCACTGGCCTTGGTTGATCATTTCTGATCAACTGCATCAATTTCACTTTCTAGATGTTTCTTGTATGCAATGCCAGGTGCCAGCTCAGCCAAAGTTGAGTGTTTGCATGACCACGTTCCAAGTTAGGCCGTGGTCTAATTTTTTGTTCTGTGTGTTTTTTTATTTCAGTTATGTTTGTAGCTTCTTGCTACTAGTAGTAAGGCCAGGAGCTCCGTTCGTAGCGTCCTTGCTCCGTTCGTAGCGATGCCCTTTGCTCCTGAGAGCCTCAGCTGGGGCCACCTCGCCACAGGCAGGTCTAAGGTCTAAGGTCGCACTGCTGAAGCGAAGCCACAGACGGCCCGACAGAGGTTTGGCCACCCATCCTGGAGACTACTGATTTGGTTTGACCGCTTGTTAACACTTCTTTGTCATTTTAGATCATTTTAGACTGCTGATACTCTTCAAAAACCCAGCAGACGGCTAAACCGGCGTGGCAGGCGCGCCAGTTCTACTTGCAGGTGGGCAATGGCATAGACGTGGCCAACAGCCCCTTGGCTGGTGTTTTTCCGTAGCTGTCTGGAGCTTTCGCTGCAAAAATGGGTGGTGCAGAGGTTTGGAAGATCAGATGAGGTTTGCGGTCTCCAGAAGCTGTCTGGAGCCACGCCAAATGCGAGGGAACTAGTAGCTTCTTGCTCCTAGGAGCGATTTCAGGAGCCCCTAGTAGCTTCTTGTTCCTAGTAGTAAGGCCAGGAGCTACTAGTAGCTTCTTGTTCCTAGTAGCTTAGTGTTCGGGGACTTTTGAGATTTGGCTCTAACAGCTCACGCTAAATGGCAGTTGTTGCACATGAAAGATGCAGATAATTGTGGGAACCCACTCAACCCGGCCCACAAGAGCATCAGCACCCTTCAATAAGTCTCCAGGAAGCTTGGAGGGACTTGGACATTCTTGTGGGGACAGTCACCCTTCCACTGTTGAGTCCTGCAATGTTGGAGAACCGATGCTTGGGTGACCGCAATTGAAACCATGCTGGCAGCGACCGCGCTGGGTTTGGCAATGCTGGGCAGGTCAAGTGGGATTGGTGGTGACGTTGAACTCGATCTTGGAGCGTGTTGACAACTTGGTGCAGGCCGGATGCCCGTGAAATGGCCGCGCCCACCAATCAGCCATGGCCAAGGGTGGCCTCCAGTAGCTCAAAGATGATCTTGGGATATCTTGGGTATTACACAAATGTTGGCCTGTGCGGAGCAGGTGAGTGGCGGAAGTGACCGATTTCCAAGCTAGAGTACGACGAAACTCGGCAAACTCACCTTACATAGCTTCCCCACAACTTCTACGTTTATTTTTTTGTATTACTTTAACTACATGCTGTATGTACATGTATACTGTAGACTGTATGTGTTCACACCTCAGTTTGACACGCACCTTCACTTGTATCCTTTGCGCTTGCGGAGGGCAACAAGGCGCTGGATATCCCCGCGCCACCGACCCAAAGTGCGCTGACTAGCCGCTGGGCCGAACCTCCGGGACGGACGTGGAATGACGGTCTGGCGGTTGACCTGGGGGACTGGTGTCACACACAGTGTGTGGCAGGGTTCAAACTGCCAGACTGAATGACGAGTTCTTGCATGGATTTCTGTCGGCCCGTCGTCTAGCTCATCAGATCATCGGAAGCTTGGAGCAGTCTCAGCATGTGCCCCTCAGTTGTGTCAGTCCCGGAACTCGCATTTTGATGCATTTTGTTTGTTGTGCAGCCATGGATTTGTATACCTTTCTGGAACATCCGTCTCGCAACTGCTGGAGCCTGTCAGGAAGAGTGTTAGCTGCTAGATTTTTTCCAAGTATCTCCGAGCCTATTTTGAGCGCCAAGATTCTTTCTCGGATCATGGTCCCTGTCCTTGCTCCTTGCAGCAAGCGCTGAGGCTTGTTGTCCGTGAAGTTGCAATGGGAGGAGCTTCAGGGGAGCTTCTCACCAGCGATGACGAACCGCGATGGCGTCACCAATGTGGAGGCGGCCGCCGCACAAAGCTCGAGCTTGGGTGGCAGTGCAGGGCACCAGCCCCACAGATGCAGAACTCTTCCTCCACTAGATCTGGCAGGGCACAAACGCGCATAACGAAACCGACGGAGGATTCTTCACTTGAAAACATACTGTATATGAAGGTAGAAAAAACATGGTCATCTAAACGAGTGGGTTTTGTCGACCGAGGGTCCCAAAAAGGAGGTTCTCTCCAAGGCTCGGCTCTCCAATGCAATGTCGACCAAGTATGGACTTGGCAGCCAGAGTCAAGAGGTTCACGTCAGACGACACAGGTATATATGACGTGTGGATTTTCGACATGCCAAACAAGACGTGTCCTGATATTTCCCGATCTGCGCACAGGCGTAATATGATGTAATATGATTATCATGAAACAACCAACATAGGCTATGAGCCAGCAAGGAAACCATTGGGAAAAGCATCCTGAGAAAGATATCATTATAATATATAATGTTTTGGGGGAGTGCCCTTGAATGTCACTGCATGGCCTAGGATGTCTCCATGTTTGATGTCTTTGGCCCATGGCAGGTGGCGAATATCAATTCCGATTCCGTCGGCTTCAAAAGTGACTCGGCAGTGATGGGGTGCCGGCAGTGATGGGGTGCCATTGTCATCATGTTTATGTTTTCCTTCTAAAGAACAAGCATGCCCGCTATCACTATGGCTCAAAAGACAAGACCCAGAGACCCACTGCAGTGGGTTTGGATGGTACCCTATTCTTGAGCAACTTGAGCATGGCATGGATTCCTGGGTGCCTCCCGAACATCACCGTTTCAATCGCCGGACATCTGACAACAGATCGTCGATCATATATGCACATCATCGCGCATTCTAGAGGGCACAAAACGAAAAATGTTCCATCCTTTGGGTATGGTGCTTTGTGAGATGGTGCTCCAAATGGTTCTCCCATTCAACATGAACAATCCTGTCCACCTATTAAAAAGCACGGCCCCCCCCACCCCCCTAATAAGGAAACCTCGGTCGCATTTTTTTAAATAGGGGGTCCCTGAAATTGGGGGGGGGTCCAAAATAGGGTCACCTGGGAAGAGCTTCAAAACCAAAAAGTCACCCAGGGAAAATTTTGTATAAAATCATGTATTAAATTCGTTCCAAAAAATACAACATTATCCAAAAACCTTTATTAGAATAGTGATTCTTCATTAGACTAACAGCTATATAGAGCTTTCGAAAGGTGGACAGACAGGGCGGACAGAGGTGGGCAGTCACGATTGTTTTTGGAACCTAATAAACAAACCCCTCCCAAATCGGCAATGTTTGTAGTTTAATAGCGGTTTGAAAGGGCGGTAATTTAAGAACAAATATAAGCCGTATTTAGGGGGATCCGACATGATATTACTGTTTTTTAATTGGGGTCCGTTTTTTAATAGGTACTCGGAATCACTCTTGCATAGTGTTGGCACGGATGCTCGTGCTGAGAAGCCGCTATGCCCTGGTTCTCGTCCAGCTTATTACGCAGAAAACTTCACGACTTCATGACAGGAAGAAGGTTCTTTGGGACCTGTCAACCCCAGAACCCCTGACTGGTTGCTAGGTGGATACTGCTCTCTCTCTCTCTCTCCAATTGTATGTATGTAATGTGCAATGCAATGCAACGCAACTCAGTGCAACACAATGTAATGTAGTGTATGCATTCATTTTATAAAGTATCTATGTATGCATGCGTATATGTAATAGTGGGGAACGTTGCAGGGATACTCTGCATAAGGGAACCACTCCACACCCCCAATCCCCTTCCGGTTGAATTCGTTGAATCTTGAGTTCAGGTGCTGCATTCTGTTCCGAGCAGGTGTTCTTTGTTCAGGAACCGCAACCTTGCTTGCACCCTTGCCCATCCGCCCCAGATGGGAGCTGTGGTAAATGCGCGAAGCCTTAGGATCTTTTTGCGCCATCGAGGGGGATGGTTGTCTGGACGGGGTAGGAGTGATATGTTATGCAATGTAATGTAATGTAAGTATGTAATGGTATGTTATGTTATGTTATGTATTGGTATGTAATGGTATGTAGTGCCATGTAATGTTATTCATTGTTATGTATTGTAATGTAATGTAACTTTATGTAATGTACTGTATTGCTAGGTTATGTTGTGTTATGTTTTTATGTTAGGTTTTGGTTTGTATGTATGTATGCCATGCATTTTATATATCTAATGTAATGTATATATGTAATTATTTATGTTTGTATTGCATTGTATTGTTTTGTATCAATGTGATGTAATGTAATGTAACGAATGTAATGTAATGGAATGGTATGGTATGGTATGGTGTGGTTTCGTATGGTTTGGTTTGGTTGTATGTATGTATGTATGTACTGTTTTGTTTTGCTTTGTTTTGTACTGTACTGTTCTGTACTGTACTGTGCTGTACTGTACTGTATGTATCTTATGAATGTATGAACGGAATGTAATACAATGTAAGGTAAGATTACTTAATTTTTAGGTATGTAATTATGTAATGTAATGTGAATTTTATGAATGTAACGTAACGTAATGTAGCGTAACGTACCGTAGCGTACCGTACCGTAGCGTAACGCAACGCAACGCAACGTATGTAGGTGTTTGTTTTTTTTCTAAAGCTGTGTGGGCGGCTCACATTTGGTTGGTTTGTTTGACCAGGTGGAGGCCGTTCTCTAGAAAAAACAACGTCGTAGAGCTCCTCCATGTCCTCGTTTGCCAGTTCTTCCCTTGTTTCCTCAGCAGGGAACTGCTCACTCTCTATGGTTGCTTGTTCACCAGGGGTGAGGAGATCTGCCTTCGAAAAAAGGTTGGCAGCGGTGGGCTAGTTTTCACAGCAGCTGCTCGGCATTCCTTCTTGATGGCCGATTACAAGATGGCCCTTTGTTGTCCATCCATGTGGATGGTTGTGCCACATAACCAGTGCAAACGTTGACCAGTTTGCCAAAGCTGGTGAGTAGCATGTCCGATAGCTGCCTCAGCGTAGGCTTGGTTGATGCAGGTGCCAGTGATGAAGGTCTGGAAGGTTTCTTCCTTGGATCGTTTCAAGATTGCAAGTCTACAGCGAACACACTTGAATTAGCCAGCAGTTTCTTGAAATTGACTCCCGAGCCAAGTGGCTGAAACTGTTTGTTTTCCAAGAGGGCCGCAATCTGTTGAGTTCTCGCGGGTTTCTTGCCAACTGCCTTTTGTCTTGAACCATGTACAATGTATATACTGTAATATATATATACACGTATAATTATGTATATTGTATACGTATTTGTCTATATCTATATCTATCTCAATCTTTTCAATCTGGCTGCAAAACGGTGCCAATTGGTTTGGTCGCTTGACCCCCCGTCAAGGGTCATCAAGAGGCTCTTTCACCGGTGACAGAACGAAGGAACATTTTTGATGGGATGTCAGCTTTGCTGACCTTGCTTGTTAGTGAAACAAATCTTTCCGGTATTTGTAAAAAAAAAGCAAGAATTAGCAGCTGCTCGCATTAATTAATGATAATAACATACTATTCCCAAATCATCAAAACAATTTTCAGTTGGCCGTATCGTTGCTTCGGGGATGGCCGTGTAACTTCCTTCTCCAGGTGCTGTCCAGCAGATTGTGTGGCAGTATGAGACCTCTGCGATCGGGGAGCTGACTGCTGCCAGTTCATCGGCGGAAACCGTTGGACGTCGAGTGCTACAGGCAGTGGATGTTAGTAGCATTGTTAGCAATGAAGTAGCACGTGAAAATCCTATTAACCTAGGGGGATCACGATGCATTCGACATCAGATCGCAACAAGATCCGTTTCCCTTGATATACGGTGGTTGGTTTCCACATGATATGGGTCAACATATGTTAAATGTATGTCAAGACGCGTCAAGACCAACCACACCAAAAACCACATGTGAAACTTGTTCCATCGGCACCGGATGTTTGTTGTTCAAGGTGATGCTACCACCGAAGCTGCCACTGGCGCGTCAATTCACACGATCATTGTCGCTGAGGGCCAGTTTCCTGTCTGCAACATGCGAACGACATCGGTGCGTGGGTTTGGTGACTGGACAAACTTAGATGTCGTCCGCTGAGTGCAAACGCTGAAGCTGCATGTAGTTGTTTGATTCGCTTCTCAAAGGGCAAACCGATTCCTCGTGATCTTGGCGCGGAGCTCGATGGTTTTGGGCTCTAAGAGGATGTGGCTGTGGGGTCAATACCGGGGAACCGTGGTTGACCACCGAAAAGTAACAGGGTAGACTACTAGGGAGGTCAACCTACCGGGGATTAGGGCCCCGGGTTTTCAGACCCACAGCCATGTGAGGATGGCCCAAACGTCACCTGCTCGAGCAACATGGGTTTCGCTGGTGGTAGGAAAGTCACTTTGGAAAGGTAGGCGTCGCCACGCCTTCTTGGCCAGTTGTTATCGCTGTTGTTCAACCTGGATGAAGCACACATTGGTTGGTGGATCTCGTTTTTTGAGACAGAAGTTCAGGCGCTCCACAGACGCCTTTGGAAAGAGTCCAGTGTTCATTCTGGTTCATTATGGTGAAGGTTTTGGGTGCTCTTGAGCACCAAAACGGGTGAGGTGAGGTGGTGTGATGTGATGTGGCTGTGGGTCAACACCGCGATACCTTGGTCGGCCTACCTGAGAGGTCAAGCTACACGTTGGACCAGGGCTCCAGGTTTTTACATATCCCCATGTTGGCTGCCTTGGACTTGTCTGCAGATCTTAGATTTTGGACGATTTTGGATACTGGACTCCTTTTCCTGTCCAGCCTTTCGCAGGAAAGCAAACGTGGTGGAAGTGGCCGTGCTGGCCAATCTGGTGGCATACGGGGAGCGGCCTGATGAAAATAGTATCCTCATGAACACCACCAGAGCCATGCCTGCAGATGCACGCGAAGTATTCTCACACGGCAGTGGTGGCTTATTGCTTCTCACACGGAGTTTCCTCCGTTGACCTAGTGCAGGGAGGGAAGTGGCAGATGCCAAGCCGGCGATGTCCAGTGTGGTCGACGTCTTCAGACGACGGAATCTCCGGTGAACACCCCACCTGCCTATATATGCCATAGCAGTCCTGAACTGAGAGGGTGGGAGGTCAGAAACCGCCAAGCCGAGAAGTGGACCGTTCGGTCCAGGGGCCGATTCTCAGTGGACCGCGAGCAGGCTCCGGTCTTACTACCCTCAAGTCCTTTATAGAATGAATCATATATATGAAACTGTAAATTATATGGCCTCCCACTCTAATGGACTGGTCGCTCACTCTTTCCGCTTTGGGTATGAGACTCGTCCTAGTGAACATTCTGAAAACCTCTGCCATGGCCGACCTTTCAGGAGATACCTTTGTGGAGATCCATTTCTCCTTACTTGAGGGCCAGGCGGCTACGGATGTTTATCCTGCAATTGCGGCGGAGAACGATGTTTGTTTCATCCGGCCGCTCGGTGGTTTTGTTTTCGCCGAAAGGATTGATTCGCGCGCAAGGATGCCCAAGTGCTTGGTGTCCAAAGATAGAGAGGTCTCCATATTAATATATAGCGAGCATACAATGGCTTCCAAAGTACTTTTTTTGGTCATGTTTGATCTATACGTTTCACGTTTCCATTCATCATGGATTGTTCCGGGTTCACATGGCATAAGGATCCAAACACAACATACATACCTGGATCTTCCAACTATGCCAAATTTATGCCTTTTGGCTGATTTTATGGATGAAAAGACAGAAATTTGTCACAGTTGGAAGATCCAGGTATACATTATGCATTCTTTGTTGTCAGACTGAAGACTGATTCCGTATGGAGTTTTCTTGCAAGTCTTATAAGTGCATGTGATGCATGTGCATCCCAAGAGGACAATCGACTGTCACTCGATCCCGATTCTGAGCTGTCACAGTTGTCAATCGACGCTGGTCAAACTCGCTGAAGTTCAAGCGTTCCCTTTTGGGACATGCATCAATGAGCAGCCCTGACTGCTTCAGGGCATTTGGACCCATTTGAACCACTTTAGCAGAGGGGGTACATGAAACATCATGAAACCCAGTAGCCTGTAACCCTGTAAAACGATCAGGTTCACCACAAATCCAATCACGCCGCTTTCTTTACTTCAGTCGAAGAAGAACAAGCTTTGACCGCTCTCATCCACAGAAGTTATGGTACGGGGTCTTGATTTACAGCCTTTGTTCTTCGCCAGAAGGTGGACGGCCGACCTATCTGAGACAAGGATTGTCAGGCGATCAGGTGTTCAGGTGTTCATCTTGCACGCGGGAATGCAACTTCTGTGTGAATATCTGAGATCTGTGAATTGCTTATAGAAAGCAGGCCATCGCTAGTAGGTTGGAGGCCAGCTGCTACTAGGTGGGAGGCCATCGCTTCTAGGGTGGAGGCCAACGCTCCTAGGTGGGAGGCCATCGCTTCTAGGGTAGTGGAGGCCATCGCTAGTAGGTTGTCTCAGCATTTACAGCTTCGACGTGTTCGCTCGCCCCAGAAAAGTTTCTTCAGCCGCCAACCAGCTTACCTCATCAGCTTACCTCTTTGCCTTGACTCCATTACCGGACCCGGTCGACCGACTGGGTCGCACAGCCACAGCCGCGCCCGCCGACTCGCCCAGGAAGATGCGCACGATCTACTCGAGCTTCGTGACGCTCGAGAACTTGGCGCAGGAGCCGTGCCTGGAGTGGTTACATAACTGTATGTATATAATTGTATATATATATATACAGTATATAGTTAATTATATACATATATATATAGTTATTATACATCTACAATATTATGATAACCTACATATACAAGGTTAAAGGTATACATACCACATGAATATATCGTATCGTAACTCAGATCATATATGATATGAATAACTTGTATATTGTAGTATATACACTTATTGCAATTATACCTTTCTTGATGTCCCTTTTGTCGGCCGATCGGCTTCGAAGCTTCGTTTCTTCATCAAGCTTCGTTGGTACCGTCTTCGACCAGCTAAGAGTGCACAGCAAACAAATGAATTGCATCAGTCTTCAAAGTAGTCATGTGTTCTTTTCTCAGTTTTTGGTGTTTTGATGTTTTGTCTCTTGATGTCTTGATGCACATCATCAAAAGTTCTGGTATTCGAAAAAATGTGGGGCTGTTTTTAGCCGATTTACAGAGTGTTTGCAGGTCTGGGTTTGGGTTTCAAGCACGCTTCGACAGCGCTTCCGTGTCCTTCCGCGTCGATCCTCTATGGTTGCGACGCCATGCGACGCCATTGGAAGGCATGTACAAAAAGTTCAAGCTGCTCATTCAGATCTTTCTGGCCATCTTTACAAGCCAGCTCTCATTCGGCAGGTCCTGCCACATTCGGTCGCGCAATGTCCTGCGTCCCGGTCAATCGAGAAATGCGACCGAGACACGACCTAGCAACTTCTCTGCAAATTGCACTTGTGACACACTCTTGTGACAAATCTTTTGTTCACCACAGAGTGATTGCACAAGCAGTTGGGTAGCTTGTGCAACGTTTGTCATTACCCCGACCCCACCCCCACCCCACCCCACCCCACCCCACCCCACATGTGCACACAAAGCAAGTCAGTTCCGGAAAAAGCAGTTGCGTAGCACATGCAATGCTTATCAGTGCCCGAACCCCCAGCCCAACCCCACTCCATGTTCTGGACACACAGACACACACACACACATGCGTACAATCGAACGTTATTGGACATCACATAAAACACAATCACAAGCGCAAACACACGACAAAAAGCGCAAAAAAAAGGGACCATTACAGAACCTGTTAGCATAAACAACACATGGACCAGAAAGAACAACAACTGGAGGAGCATTTTTTCAAGACGATTTTTTGCCGCAGAAAAGAAAGTGGTCAGCATCTCAGACTGGCACAGACTGGATGGTTCTTCTAATTCGATGGTGGCCACCATGTTGATGCACTCCATCCACGTATGTGCCTGGTCTAAACTGGTCGGGGCTGATTCAGTGATGAATAGTCTATATAGTACTGTATAATACTAATACATTGTGCAAACCCAATAGATATACTGTATACATCTCTACATGGTCCACGGAACAGTCCGGCATTCATCAAACTCCTCCACAGCCACATTACCATTCTTGACATGTCTCTTTGTTCTCTCCAAAGCTGGCAAGGCTCCCATCCGGTTGTTCTGTGAAAGAAGCCAATGGCCGCAACAAAAGCACAACGAGATGGACACTCTACTGAGTGGTGGTTTCAGATACTTGTATGTTCAAGTTCATGAGATGATTGATCCCACTGACTACTATTTTCAAGTGAGTTGAAAGCACCAACCAGTCTAAGTTTCGGGATGATTCAGATGTCCTCTCCTTTGGACTTTTCTGAATGCAGGAGGTCCGCAGTGCAGGCACCTCCTCGCTTGCAGAGATCCCCCAATTTGTGGACCAGGCGAGGAACTGTTTTTCAGTCAAAAAGCTCAGAAGAGGGTTGACACGCCTGTTTGTTTGTCCCATGTCAAGTACGACACAGCGACGTATGGGAAGGTCCACCCACTTTTGAGATTGTGTAAATGTTCTGAACACATATATATATATATGTCTGAATGATCAGATGTTGGGTCAGTTACAGTCTCATGACCTCATATTTATGTGTTTCACTGCAGCCGTTTCAAACTGTTGTGTCAAACGTGACTGACGTCAAGGATCAGGTGAAAAGTGTGCCTTGCTACAGTTCTACCTTTGGGTACTGTGATACTGAGATCACTTAACTTTGTGAGCCTATATCATCCGAACTACTTCAGAGAGCCGCGCAACATACATCGCCTGCTTGGGAACTGGACTGCATCAGACAGGGCTAGGAAGAAGCAATGGCACAACAGCAGGCACAAGGTGCAAACGTCCCAGCAGGGGACGCGGCACAACGGCACAACAGCTTTCGCAAATGATGCAAGCATGGGCACTGGCTGCGGAACAGAGCCAAGAGCAAACGCCCGCCAATCACCAAGAACATGGCAACAAGCGTTGAAGTCCGAGACCGCTCAGAGCACAAAGGCATCCCAAAGTCTTACAAGTTCAGTGGGCAGACAAGACAGGAACTTGGAATTCCTGGTGCTTCAAGACATGGATTGAAACTAGCAATAAAATCTTGGAAGAGACATCCCTTGATGTGGGCTGCCCGACAGGCACTGATCTCACTATGTGAGGTGACGGTGCTCTCCAGATTGTGTCAAGAATATGTCCAGAGGTTCTCACTTTGGATTGGAAGCGTTGAGAACGCTGATCACCAAGTACCATCCTCAGAATCCACAAGCGAATTCGGCATTGCTGAAGAAAGTCCTGCGCCCACAGCAATCTGCACTGGACAAACTTTGACAGAACATCGAGTCCTGGGAGAACATCGGGCGCAAGTATGAAGAGAGAAAGAAGAAACGATTGGACGATGGCATTGCCAGGAGTTGTTCGCAGCAAATGTGCCTTGTGAAGCTTCAAGATTGTCTTGACCTCCAAAGCTCAAGACTTGTGGACTATGACATCCTAAAGTCAGAAATTCTTGCTTACCTTGAGAACATTGAGAGCAGGCAAGAAGCCAAGACAGGTGCTCCAGGTCCCACGGATGCCGCCAGCCAGATGCAAGCGCCGCTTGCGGAAGGCTAGAGCAGGGGAATGGGGGCAAAGAGCACAAGGCACCAGATCTACATCGGCGCCTGCAATGTCATGGCTGTGAGGCCGCAAGGAAGCCGCCTGAGCGCCGGAGCTTTGGCTGGGAAAGGATTGGCTATCCGCATGAAAGGTTGCAAGAAGTCCCTATCTCCTTGGTGAATGGTGTGTTCCAGACTCTGGTGACGTTCCGCCGGTTTCAACCGAGTTGCTTCACGCCATGGAGTGGGGACTTTGTCCCAGCTCGGTGACGATGGATGCTTTTTGCAGGCATCAGCATGGGACGCGGACGAGGCTTCGGAAGAGCCAAGGTGCAAGAACGGGCTGCTAGGAAGGATTTCCGTATCAAGAAAGAGAGCACAGAACGTATGTTGGCGGACGTCCTCACCAAGCCTGTCATCCAAGATCAAATCAGAATGGCCATGAAGAATCATGAAGAACATGAACCCTACGTATGTCTTGGAGGAACTGAACTGACCCTGAGAGCAGGACGGCTTGAGCCTCGCTGTACTTCTTTCTGCGCGGGGAGACGTTAAGCTTGGGTGATGAGATGTTGGGTCAGCTGCCTGTGCAGTCTCATGAGCCATGTAGAGCACTCATGTTTATCTGTTTCTGTAGCCGTTTCAGACAGTTTTGTCAAACGTGACTGACCTCAAGGATCAGGCGAAGAGTGTGCTTTGCAAACTTTTGGGCACTGCGGTGCTGTGATGCTGAGATCACTTAACTTTGTGAGCCTAAGTTCTCCGTTCACTGAAGATACCAGTCTACTCTCACTAATTGATCTTGCTTCGAAGACCTGAGACTTGAGACTGAAATAGATTTTTCGTTCAAAAAGTTCAGCTACAAAGCAGCGTTTGACTTGACATCTGCCGACGGGACTGGACCGCAGACACGCCAGACACGGCAAACATCAGGTCATCGCGGGCTATGAGGAAGTGAAGGGCTACTATAATCAGGCTGGGTGTGTTGAGGTGGAGGCCATCTCATATATATTGCACCTTGCAACCAACCCTTTGTCAGACTGCGTTAAAACCGCCTCGAAGCCACCAGGGTAGCATCCCCTGCAGCAACCGCACCTACAACTTGCCGGAGTGGGAGGGCCTGGTCTTCGCCGTGGGCCGTTTGCGAGCACTCACGCAGGAGGCAGGTCTCCCGAGCCTAGTCGCATGCAAGGTTGGAACTTCAAGGGTGATGGAGTGTTTTGCATGTTCGAGTCTGCTTTGTATATCTTTCTAAAATTGTACATATTTATAGATATTTATAGTTAAAATTGCGTTGGTGCGATGGAGTGCAAGGGATGGCAAGGGCTGACAAACACTCGGAACACCACCCGACTTCCCAACTCCAACACACTGCAACCAAGAAATGTTAAAGGCAAAATAGGGAGACCACACCTATCCTCCAAAAAAACACGAGTCCACAATTCAAAGCGCTATATGGCTGTGAATCAAACACCATGGGAACCATCCAGGTCAACCAGGGTCCACTCCGGTATTGACCCACTGCCGTATTTCTCCACTCCGTCGTTGGTCTCTCTTGGTCCGCGCCAGGCCTCAGCGGACTTCATCTTGTCCACGCAGGGAGTCAACGTGGAGCGCTCCATCGCCAGTATGATCCGCTTCACGGCCGCGTTCCGAAGTCTAGGCCACCTCGCGGAGCGATGGCGCGTTTCGACTCTCCGAAGATGGGAGGAGATGGGCGGGACGTGGGCCAAGAGGGTGAGCTCAAAGGTACTGGTTGATCAGGTTGGGGTTGATTGGCCAATATTGGCCTGTCTGGAATTTCTCATATATTCTCATCATACCCATTAGGTGGGGTTGGGCGATGTGGTGGTCGGTGCTGGTGCTAGGAGTGGAAGGGAACAAAAGTAAGGTTTGTAGGAAAATCTTATGGCGCTGCAACATGCCGCAGCACACGGAAGCTGTTTCCTATACATATTGAACGGATTACTTGGATCTATTTTGGAGCCACTATACAAATGATCCTGATCCATGATCCAACAGAACATGTAATACACCAATACCCTGATAACCTGATTATTCCTGATCGTTCCTGATTCATTCTTGCTAGTGTCGAAAGGTGTACCCTCATTAAAAGTGACTGATTGGTACTTCTGACCTATTGGTGGTTGCCTCCTTTTTTTAACGCAAAACAACAAGCAATTGCATAAGGGTGGTGAACCTGTTTCGGCACAAACAGAGGATGCCACAGGCACCCAGGCACCACTTCCGGTTCCGCACTCCATCCTCGCCGCAGCTTATGGTGACGACCAATTGCCTTCGCCGCCGACGCAGCAAGCCGTGAACAAGGCCGAGCGGAGACGGTTTACAAGCCTCGAAAAGCATTTATATATTGATAGGAGGCCATGGCAAGTAGGTTGGAGGCCATCGCAAGGTTCCTTGCAATTGTTCAGAACAAGCTGTCACATTGCTACCTCAAGCTGATCCAAATGAGCGAAGACGCAATAAGGAACCACCAGTTCACGGCCAATGAAGCACGTAGTTCAGCTATATAGATGCCATGGGCGTATGAACAGATGAACTTCATGATTCTTGAAAGCCGTGAGAAACTGAATGAAACTCACAGGCTTGATTTAGATATCCCAAGAGTTCCCTCCAAAGTGTTCCAGGAGGCCATTTTCCCACAGGTCACCCGATGATTTGAAGATGGTATTTGTTCACGCTCCAGAAAGGAAGGATCGAAACGGAGACCTCCACAATCAAAAACCCAGAACGGAAGGTTGATGCGCAGCAGGAACTTGACAACAGTGAAGAGGTACCTTTTGGACCGCTTGTCACTGGCGTGCATGGCAAGGCATCACGAAAATCGGACATGCTTGTTGTGAAGGCGACACAACAACACAACACAAGGCGACACAACCAACTGCATTTGTTTGAGTCTTGCCACTTTAGACTTCTCATGTTATCCATTCGGCCCTCCACCAGCCTCGAAACAGAATGTTCGGCCCTCCACTCGCCGCCAACTCCACTCGCTCCGCACCACGCTGCCGATGCGCCACACGACGAACCACCTGCGTCCATCGGGACGTTGGCGATGGCTGAGTTGCTGGCCATCTGGGAGATGAGTTCTGGCTCCTGCCGTTTTGGACAGCCAGTTTGCAAGCAAGTTGTTGGCGCCATGCTGGGTGCATCTTTTGGGTGCAAGCTATATGACCATGTGGCGATTTGTTTGGTTTGGTGCTTAAAGTTCTCCTTGCACCAGTGGTACCTGCCAGAGTTGTCCCATTCGCTAGCTGCTAGAAAAGGAGATGCGCATTGGCTTGCATTGCTGCAGTGGGGGGTTGAACTTGCATCCCTTGCCATAGGCTTGTGTAAACTAAGCTCGCGCATCAATCCCTATTTTATATATAGTTATATATATATAAATAATATATATTTCCTTACGGACATCATTAATACCTGCAGCATCCTGCAACAACTGGGGCAGATTCTGAACACCGTGAAGCCCGCCTACGATCACGTCTTCAACGCGGCGGCCGCGTCCAACGTTCAGTGCCACGGCCGACCGTGGTTGGGGGGGCTGGCGAAGAGGATCCGGAAACGTGGAAAGCTCACGTGGATTTGTTGGTTTGCCGCCTCTCAGGCACAGAACAGATTTGTTGTTTACTATTGGTCTACCAAAAAGAACATAATTTGTTTGTGGGAGGCTTCACTTGGACATACTTTGCAGCTTGATAGGTTAAGAAAGCTCGGGACAATCCCTCCCGGTCACATGTGGTTGCCCTCCATAGATGTGGTGTCCTATCCTCAAAAGCCTCAAAAGCGAACGCCATAGACCCGTGTCATCCGACAGCTGGGAAGAGCTTGGAAAAACTTCTACAAAAGTAACAGCTTAATCATTCATGTGTGGATTTCCACTATGAAATGGTGGGCCCGGGTGGGCCCAAAGTGACCTCAGGGGCCACCAAATTGAAGCAAGAGACCTTGAGGTGAGTATTTTATCAAGATGTTGGTTCATTGTATTGGCACCAGCTCTTGAGTGAACACTTAGCCAAGAACACTGTTTATAGGTGTCTTACATGGATGCCATGAAAAGGTCGGATTGCATTCTTTTGGGAAGTGTTGCTGGAACAGTAAGGTCATGTAGTAGGGTGGGTATGTATATAGGCAAAAAAACGCCTCAAGGCTCAGACTCTACGCTATCGATCCAAGATGATCCAAGGGTTGTTCGGTGCAATAGGTGGAGAGCGCTGATGAGAAAAGAGATTGTTTCCTTACAGATTGGGTGGGCTGTGATATCACTGCCTGAGGGACTTCACCTTTCTCATTGCGAGTCCCTAGAGTACTACAGAATGAGTTCTGAGCGCAATGGTAAAAAACAAGAATTTATTGGAACACTTTGTTTCTCGAGTTATGGACCGTTATATAGCTATCTTCCAGGCTTTTTCCGGCCTGGTTTCAGGCGCATGTCATTCTATAGCTCTATGGTTTGCCATTTTATGGAGAGAATTGGGGGGCACCCACTTCTATAGTACAGAATGGCTGGCACAACGTCACTCGTGAAATTGACACAGGGATGTTTAATCGTCAACCAGAAGACAACACACAAAACATACAAACACGCAAACCGTGGTCAAAAACTTGCTGTTAGTCGCAGCATGCTGCTCAAAGGTTCACCAGGTAGGTCCACCGTTGGCGGATTTGTTCCAACCGAAGCAATCGTTTCGACTGGGGTCAAATGAAGCTATGGGTTCCCCAGCTCTGTCTCGCACATGAGACAATTGTGCTTTCAGAGTCTGATGGCCTCCACTACCCTAGAAGCGATGACCTCCAACCTACGACTGCGATGACCTCCGTTCATAACTGCAGATGTTCCCCTTGTTTCAGGTTCCCCCGGACACGACTGAGAGGCCGACGACTGAGTTCCGTTTTTCGAACGTGAAGGAAGTTTCTGCGATGGACTGAGGAACTTCCTCATCCAGGCAGATGCCGTGGCGTCAAAGTGTGCCGAGATCAAGTCGATGCCACCTGGCATGTGTTTGCCACAGAGTCCTCCTTGGCCTTGGTATGTTATATAATGCTGTACTCGTAGTATGATATAGTATTAATATATATATATAGCATGATTATGATTCTGATGTATGAACCTCAACTAGTTTCTCAGGGCTCTCTGATATTGGTTCGTTTCTGCTTTGATTTTGGGTGGCAACTTCATTAGACAGTGACATCTCGATGTTTAGAGTCTTTTGGGCCAGTTTGAGCCGACTCGGCATCCGTCGGGGGGGTTTCGCAGGGTCGCTGGTCGGACTGTCCCGTTCGTGTCGCAGGTGTCGGTCGTCCGGTCCGCCGGTGTTACGGTGTGGTCACTGCTCCGCCGGTGTCGTGTGAAGTAGGCCTGACTCTTAGGTAAGTAAGAGAGGGGTCTATCGAGATGCATTTTGGGCGCCAAAAATGAGACCCGGTCGGTATAACATGTATGATAGGACATTCTACTTGTTGGATACAAGTTGTGAGATGTGGTTGTAAGGGCTTGCTATTTTGGGAGGTCATTCTCTCTCTATATATATATATACACATAACAATAGTGTATAGAATATGGTATAGAAAGAGGTGTCGAATGCACAAGTGTGTGAGATCTTGATGTGTCTTGTGATGCACTTGCCACATATTATTAAGAGAACGAAAACACAATTGCGCAAACGCAACAATTTCTCTAGACTCTGTAGAATGATTTGTCCAACCTCAAAAATCAACAAGGTACTCCCTATACTGTAAAATCATTCCCAGCGGTCGTGGTAATCCTGTTGTGCCTGAACATAGCACAGTACATAGCACTTATTTCAGATTTGATTTGTTTGTTTTCCAAAGTCCCGCCCATTCTATGTACATCACTTTTGCTTTGAGCACCCTGCGTTTTGCAGATTTTGTCGAGTCCCCCCGTTCCATATCTATAAAATCAATGCGTTTTATGGGATTTTGATGGATTTTGCTGTAAAGGGGATACTTGTATACAGCTACCAGGATTACCAGGGAAGGATCCATTTTTTAGTGGATTCTAGGGCGTGTTATCTCGTTGTTTGGCGCCTGGAAGTGGTTCAGGTACTTCAATGAGGCCCAGTCGAGCCTATCCGAGTTCCCAGTGCAGCGTTTAGAGGCCGCCTTGGATCAGATGTATCGCGTGAACCGCGTGGCGACTTGGACGAGAGGACGGGCCGAGGACGGGCCGAAGACGTCCTTCGTTTGCCACCCGGGCCAAGAATAGTGGGTGATGGCCGCAGACTGCCGCAGGGTGGGTTTCCCCCAAGACAAAGACTCAAAAGAATATCTATATCATTCTATATCTATCTCTATATATATATATATATATTATATCAATGATATATCTCGGGTGTGTCCTATTACCTGTAACAGTCCCCGCTTTAATCCCCGTTTTGGGGAACAACTTGCGGCTTGAGCTGTCATGCAACCACGTATTTGGGTCCAAAGCGCTTTCTCGTTTTGGTGCTTCGGTGAGGGCAGTGACATCAAGTCAGCCAGTTAGCCAACGAACCCCTGGCCCCAAAGCGGGCTTCTTGAGCACGAGAAGGTATATAATCCCGGCCCTGCTTGGGGTTCCCTGTATTTTGAGGTTTTTGATGTGCCAACATCCGACCCGTTTGTGAAGGATCCGCTCAAGTCTAAGACTGCTGAACCTTTCGACTGTGAAATCGCCCAAATTGTTCGTCCCGGTTTTAGGTGCTCAGGGCCCTTTCGTTTTAAACGTCATTTCACCCAACGTCTTAGATCTCAGCGCAAAACCTTCCAATTTCTGAGAGGCTCAGATTATATAGTCCTGGCGCTTGCAGCTATAGATGTTGATAGCATAGAAATACGGAGTTGTTGAAGGGTTCAGGCAAGCAACTCACCCACAACTCCCAAAGGACATGCATGCCTCAAAAGAATGGGAGCTTCATTATATATTCTGTTTTAATATATCTCTTGGAAAGCATATCCATCATAGCCCTACTTCCTTTTCAAAGGCTTCAAGTCCCAGAGGCTGCCCAGCGACCCCGGCCCCGGCCCCTCAGACGACACATTTTTACCTTTCCCGCGACGGTCTTTTCCTGCGCCGACATGCACCGCCATGAGGTGAAGCTCGCTTTGATGAACATTTACCAGTTAACGACGACCTCGAACACCTTGTCGCAATCGATCTCAGAGTTTGAACGGGTCCACAAGGACATGAAGGAAGGAGGCGCGCGGGGCACACCGCACCCCACCGCACCCTTCCGCACGCACCGGTGCATGCGGGTTCCATCAAGTGATTTGGGTTCCGAACGGGAGGATGCTTTGACGTCTCCGTTAGATTATGAGCCAAATCCCTGCCCCCATGATTTGTCAGTGTTTCCTATGTTCACCCGCCTTTAATCTTCTTGGGTTTTTGGTTTGAAGACAAACCAGTAGGGTTTTCAACTCAATAAGAAGACAGGTGATCAGGTGTTCATCCCGGGAGAGTCGTCACTGCATCGTTCTTTTCACGGCTACGATGGACGCATCGCACACGGACGATGGATTCATGCCACGGTGGGGATGGTCGGTCGGATGTGTCCTGTTAAAGATTCAAATCCGTGCACTGCAAGCTTTAGATACCTTTGGTATCCTTTAGATTCCTTTAGTATCTTATAGCATCTTTAGTTCGAATTGGAAACCATGGACAGTTTCGGAAGACAAGAACTTCCTTTGCCAGCCGGGTTTTCCCTCCCGTTTCAGTGCTGCAATCACATCTATTGCTACACATCTATTGCATGCGCCCGTCCCATCTGCTTGGAATGCCTCATTCAGTTTGCTCATCGAAACTCCTCCTCATCGAAGTGAGTTGGTGCTTCGTTTCACCCTCGGGGGCGAAGAAGCAGCGTCGCTGCTTTTCCGTTAGGAAGCTTCGGAACGGCTCCGCACCAAGGGGGTGGCCTCCCAGAAATCGTCTCGCAGCGCGAAGATCTCCTGGCCCAGTGGGATGCCGTGGACAGTGCCTTCGGTCGGATTCAGCGCCGATTCAGCGCCGAAGCCCGTGGTGCCCGTGGTGAGGCTCTTGAGGTTGAACACCCGGCCCTGGCGCTTTCGAACCGTTTGCCAGAAGAGACATATCCCAAATTATCCCAATACATTCCAAATAATACAATTACAATGATATACATTAATTACAATGTAGACAACGTGATGCAAGCTCCGAAGGAATGGCTCCCGGATATCCATGTATATCATACACACATGGAAATCCTCTTTATGATTTAATGCTCAAGCTGGTAAAGGATGTCTTTCATCGACCGTAACTTCTTGCGTCCAGGTTTTTGCTTTCGGCTCGTCACTGTTTTGCAGGAACTCTGCAAGATCCTCCAGCAAAAGTGATAGATGTCAACTGGAAAACCATTATAAATAATATATGAACATATGCAATGGTTTCATTTCTGGGTTCTATTTTGTTCTTTTTTTCGGTTGTCCAGAGCCCTTCTTCTGAGCTACCAGAGCAGGACCGCACGCAGCCAACGCAGGTGCCTGGCAAAGACTCAGATCGCTCCTCCTCACGCAATCTGCTGGGGTTTCTTAGCCGCAACCAGATCCATTAAGGCATATTAATATGGGGCTGATCCTCTGAAGGCATATGGATGATCCTCTGGCTGTCACCAAAGATTTTCAGGGGATGCACATGATGTACTTGGAGAAAGGTACCTGGCTCTGAATAGCTGTGTCTTGCTCTGCCGATATGTATAATATATGCAGAGATAGATACCCTCACTCATGCAGCGCCTGATCCGTGTCCGTGCCCATCCCAGGATGTCCAAAACCTCTTAGATGCCAAGATGGCAACACTTCAGGACTTGGTCGTCGGGATTGCTTTTGAACATCAATCCCCTCGCCTTTAAGAAGCCGCCTTGCCTTTCAAAGTGAGACAAGCGGAGTGGTTTTATTGCGTTGTTGAGAGACCAAGCAATGCATGCACATGTTTTGAGTTTAAGTGATGGAACCGACAACATCAGACTCGACCAGAGCTGTGGCTGGTGTGTCTCAAGAACCAGGGAAACGATTTTGTATGGCAATTTACTTTTTCAGACTTGCATTTGGGTGATTGGGGTCCAGCATATTTTGAACCATACGATCCATTCTGCTGAGAGGAACCCGGCATATTGATCGCTCAAGCATACTGGCCCACAAAGGCAAGTATAATCAATTATGTACTGTGTTTCTTTTTGTTGCAACGATTTCGTCTACCTCCGCTGACGGGAGACACAGGTACTCAGTTTGGTGCTCTAGTAATTAACGTCTATATTATAGATTACTTCCATGTACTTCCCAAATGTTTGGCCCGTTTGCGTTTTCATTCGTTTTCCACCGTGTCGTCCCTGGGTTGGAGGAACCAGGTATGACCCGGAACCAGCGGCCGCTGTAGCGGCCAGCCTTCAGGGTCTCGAGTCAACAGACCTTGCGTAGCGGCATTGGGATGGGCCGAGACTGGGACGTCCATCTCGTAGAAACAGCTTCGAGGCCTCATCAAATTCCCATGTCTTAGACTGGGAAGTTCACCCCCAAGCAAAACTCTTCAAATATCAGTTTGTCAGTTTGTTGCAGGTTCTTGACATCTCAGCCCTGCAGGTTCTTGACTTGTTTTTCTTTTATTAAAGACAAGGCCTGGCGGGCCGCGGCCGCCAGCCGTGCTGGCCGAGACTAGGAGATCGACGTGCTGGCCGAGCTCTTTTCCGTGCCAGACCCCGGAGTGCTCGAGACCTTCCCATGGATGTTCGCCCCGCGGCGTGCGGGTAGAGCGCGGGTGATCCTGGAGCATCCAAGCCTCTCAAGAGGGGATGGTCCAGTTTTGGCCCTCCAAGGCGATGGGAGTTGGCACGGCATGGCTCAAAAAAGAGGACACCCAAACACCAACAAGTGCAAAACCAGATCGACCCCCCCCAAAACAGCAAACATAATCACAGAGGAGCCAAAAGGACATGTTGGGGAAAGAAATCATTATATATAAGAACTATTGTTTGTGTCCGGACATTTGAAAAAAGGGCTGCAAGACACGAAATGGACACCTTTGCATACATGTCACATACATACAGGACGGCAAGACAGGACAGGAGGACAGAGAGACAGACGGGAAAGGCAGACCACCAAGGATATTATTTATTCATTCAGATCAGCGCATATCAGCGCCAAAACATATTGTGGGTGATGTTTTGGTGTTTTCATGTGAGTCCCGTGCTCTTTTGCAGTGGCTGGGCCGGTGGCGAGGAGAGGGCTTGGAACCTCGTGATATGGGTGTGCTTTAAGATGCACCCCAAAAAACCATACGATGAGGACATGTTGATAAACGTCCAGTGGGGGGAGTCTCCCTATTCGTAATACATATCCATGTCGACACATCATGCCTTATAAAATCCTTATCATCTGCGCGTTGCTGTGAATCGCCCCTCCTCAAACATGGGCGGGTGGATCTTTTTCTGTGATCCACTTGCTTCGTCCTTCCTTTTCTCGCTCGAAAAAAGGGGGGCGGGCCGGCTCGCCGCAGCCAGCTTGGTGCCTGAGGTGGCCTATGGCCTGATGGGTGCCTTCCTCCTTTTTTGCGCCTGCGGGGCGGCCTACATCCACTGGGCTTCACGGCGCAAGAGGACCGACGCGCAGCAGCAGGGCGGTTGGAGCCAGGCCTAGGCGCGGGAACTCGAACGCGAGAACGGGGAAGCGAATGGGTTGGGCGAGAATTCGAGGATGGCGGCTGATCCCCCCAAAACAGCCGGGCGGGCCGGGCTGGTTCGATTTGACACAGCAACTCAGCCGAGCCGATGCTTTGACGAGCGATATTTTCGATGTAATTATTTGGAGGGCATCAGTTTCAGGGTGTCGGAGTTGCAGTTGGAATTCGTTGGGCATGGAATTGGCCGTAGAACATACATGTAAATGTGGGATCATTTGGGACGGGTTCACCCAGCCTTCCCATTGCCGGGAAGACTTGTTTAAGCTTGATGAAACATACTGTTCCAGAAAGCTTGAGGATAGGATGCCTTCCTCAACAGCACCAGCCTGTATGGCCCTTGTGTCCAACCTGCTATTCATTCGAACCCTAAATCAGCCCGCTTCAGATTCAGTTGGGGACGCCATAGTTGAAAACTAGTGTTTTGCTGAATAGCAATGAGCAATGAGCCAGACACCATAATGACATACAAGGACTTCAGTAAACGTGTTGGTGGTCCCAACAATTCCGACACAATTCCACCTTTGCCAGATTTTGTCAAGAAGCTATGAAAGATAGGTTGTGTTTCTAATATGATATGTCTTCCCGAATGCGTAGCGAAGGGTTCTCGTTTAACTCTGGGGTCGGGGGGTAGAGCCTTGTTCGCAACTCGTTGTCTGAGCGACCGCAAAACCGTCCGCAACCATTCATTCGCAACCGACCGCAACCATTCGCGGTAGGGCGCAGTCGCTGACATGGGGGGAAGGTTTTGGAGAGGGTTTTGGATGGAAATGTGACGTGTCAGATTCGGGTAAAATAGCGAGGAAACTTGTGGAAGCGTAAGATGTTGAATTGTGGAACATGATTTCACTGCGCAGGCGCAGCGTTTTGTGTGTTCCGCAGTTTTCTGCGCAGTCACATTAATATTGGGTTGGCGTTTGGAGAGCGGTGTTTTTGGGGTGTTGGATGTGGCTGTGACATTGAGATTTGCGTTTCATGGTGTTGCATCGAAGCTGTGTTTTCGTGGCAAGTCTCAGCTGAAATGGTGGATGGGAGTGTGCTCAGAACGTGTCGAATCATTCCATTCCAATCGTGTGGTGTGCGAAAGCGCTCGTTTTGGAGAGTTGACGGGTGAATTTTGGAAGACGTCTCGTACGAAATGCTCGCTTTGCAGTCTTGACGTGTGACTTTTGGAGGGCGTCTCGTACCAAGCGCTCGTTTTGGAGACGTGATGGCTGATGTTTGGAGACTTTAGTAGCTTTAGTAGCCGTGTCCCACAAGCGTGTCCTACAGTGTCCCACAAGAGTGTCCTATAAGAATGTCCAACAAAATTGTCCTGCAAGAGTGTTCCGCAAGAGTGTCCCACGAGAATGCCATACAAGAGCGTCCCAAAAGAGTGACCCGCAAGAGTGTCTTACAAGAGTGTTCCGCAAGAGAGTCCCACAAGAGTGCTCGACAAGAGTGCCGTATACAAGAGTGTCCCAAAACCCTGTCCCCAAAACAGTGTCCTACAATGTTACAAGAGTGTCCCACAAGAGTGTCCGACAAGAGTTTCCTACAAGAGTGTCCCACAAGAGTGTCCCACAAGAGTGACATACAAAAGTGTCGCGCCTGAGTGCCCCACAAATGTGTCCTACAAGAGTGTTTCGCAAGAGTGTTCCAACAGGACTGTTCTGCCAGAATGTCCCACAAGAGTGACATACAAGAGTATCAGTGTTCCACAACATTGTCCCGCAAGAGTGTCCCACAAGAATGTCCGACAAGAGTGTCCCACAAGAGTGTTCAAGGGTTTCCTACAAGAGTGTCCGACGAGAGTGTCCCACGAGTGACATACAAGAGTGTCCCAGGAGAGTGTTCCACAAGATTGCGCAAGAGTGTCCGACATGAGTGTCCTACAAGAGCTTCGTACAAGGGAGTCCCACAAGAGTGTTCTACAAGAGTGTTCCGCAAGAGTGTCCCACAAGAGGGTCATACAAGAGTGTTCCACAAGAGAGTCCGGCAAGAGTGTTTCGCAAAGTGTCTTACAGGAGTGTTCCGCAAGAGTGCCCTGCAAGAGTGAGTGTCATACAAAAGTGTCCCAATGTGTCCCAGAAGAGTGACAAACAAGAGTGTCCCACAAGAGTGTTCCGCAAGAGTGTCCCACAAGAATGTCCGACAAGCAAGAGTGCCCCACAAGTGTGTCCTGCAAGAGTGTCCCACAAGAGTGTCTTACAAGACTTTCTCACAAGAGTGTCCTACAAGAGTGTTCCACAAGAGTGCCCCACAAGAGTGTCCTACGAGAGTGTCCCAGAAGAGTGACAAACAAGAGTGC